AAAGGGAAGGTATTAGCACCCTTTTCATCCGTAGTTATCAACGGTCTCTTAGTTGCTTCCTAGATCACTTGCTTTTGTTTGAAAATGTGCTTTGTGTTATGGGTTTGAAAATATTTTGAAAACGTCTTTGTAATGATTCTTGTCTCTATAAGAATGCATACAAAGTGTTGGTTTTAAAAATATTTCAAAGAGATGTTTGTGGAAGATGTTTTTTTGAAAGTGATTTTGAAAAGTGCCTTTGTAATGATTCTCGTCTCTATAAGAATGCGTACAAAGAGCTTTAACTTTTAAAAATGTTTCAATTGAAAGTGTTGGTGTAAAAAATGTTTTTTTAGTTGTGAGAAAGCAAGCAACTACGAGTGTCTTACCTACTCAAAAGTCTTTGTTCTTTTCCTCCGCCTTTAGATGTTGCTATCTTACCATTGATTGATAAGAAGCCCCATCGTTGGATGTGAAGGGATGGGCGTGGGTCATTTGTATAGACATAGAAGACAACTTATGAGACATTTTAGCAATTTTCGTTAGGGACTACATCATTTACCGAAGGCAACATCGAGGGTCATCGAGGGACTACGATAGTTTTATCGAGGGTCTTTGCTCAAACGCCTATATTCGAGGGACATGACTATTTTCCGAGGCAACAAGTGAGATTACCCTAGAGGTGCATGTGCGCAAGTGTGTTTGATTGCATGCATTTTTGTCTTGAATTTAGGGTTGTCTACTTGTTGGTTTATCTTGCCATACACCCTAATTACTAACATTTATATGAAAGCGGTAAATTGCGGAAAGTAAATTTACTACACTATTACATCACTTGGGGATGGGGATACAAATGTACAAATAGGGTTTGCAAGAAATGAAATTCTAATTATCTTTTACAACCATATTGAATGTGAATAAATGTACAAGTATTGGAATGAAAATAAAATGAACTTTGTTTTAATTTTTGTTAAGGAAAGGTTTTGATTAATTAAAAATAATTATGAAAATAAAATATTTTTTGTGATATTTTTATATATTCATAAAATAAAAATTGTAAATAAATGGTGTGCAAAAAATAAACTCAAAAGGAGTTGTTTTGATAGGTTATAAAAATGTTTGAAGTTTGTTAAAAAGAAAAAGGAAACAAACAAAAGGGTAAAAATTGTTTTGGTCCTGCCAAGGTTTGAACTCAGGACACTACACAGAAATGCCTTTCGCACGTGCTATTTGTATCACTGGGGTGGTCTGTTTCATACGTTCATAAGGCAACTTCGATTGGGTACAAGATAAACTTGTTTTTGAACCTTTGAAGTGTCTAGCTCCCTCCTTCGATTGCAGGAATGCAAAGCTCCCAAGTTGAGATTCAAAAGGCTTCAATGTTTAGCCCATCTAAGGATACATAAAACCTGTCTAAAGTTTGTAAATGAATCTAACAAAGGTAACTTTCAAAAGCTACAGGCCAGGGGTTAGCATAAGTTTATTTGGCACCAAAATCAAAGCCTAACTAGTCAGAGTTGAGATTCTCAATGTATAGGCAGTGAGAATCGAAGCTAAAAGCAAGGTCAACTTCCTAGACATAATATCTACACTTTTTTATTTGTATGTACAAAACATATTTAAATGGAAAGTTCCAAGTTTAGAGGAAACTTACCTCTTGAATTGCCAATCTAAGGAGCTGTATGTGACTTCCAGGAAGGATTTGATAATGGACCAAGCCTATAGGGACCTTCTTTGAGCTGGTTTTGTTGCTGCTTTGTTTGAAGAGTCACTGAATCAAAGGTTGGTGTGTGATAGTGGTGAGTGAATCGAAGGTTATTATATAACAGTCTAGGGAGTGAATCAAAAGACTGTTATGCTGCTGTTATGGAATGAATCGAAGGGTTCACTAATGCATGAAGGGATCCGAGATTTCTTGTGAGAGTTTTAAAGTTTGTACGTTTGAGAATGTTTGAGAGTATTCGAGAGTTGGATAGTTTGATAGTTTGATGATTTTTCCCACGCCACCAAATTCTGTTTCAGCTTGCAAATGGTTTCTCTATTTATAGAGAAAAGGTTAGAGATGTTGGAGTAACTAGGTTTGTAAGATAACAAACCATGGTTTGGTTGAAAACAAAAACAAGATTGATCCCTTTTAATTGCTCCCAAGTTTCAGGTACAAGTGGGGGCCTGATGTCTGTTTGGTGCAGGGGATTGGACTTATGCTTTTGGCACTGCTTGCGTTCAAACAAAAATCATATTGGGAGCTAACTTTGTGATTAAAGTACTCTTTATGAAAAAAAAGGTGCGTAGTTTTTTGCCATTTTATCCAAGAATAGTATTATCCAGTAGATAAAGCTTCGAACCTTTGTGTAATGTATCGCAAATTTGTGTAAGCCTTTGATCATGTAAAGATTTGGAAGCAACATAGCCTGACAAGTGAGATTTGGAGGATAAGGCTATGAGATTTGTTCAATGTTCTTCAACCAAGCTTGCTCAAAGGGTTCATATTAAGTTCAAAGTATGTTTCTTCAAAGGGAACTAATACTTCAATCGAAGCCTTGTGTGAAGGTATCCCTTGTCTAATTGAAGGCTTGCCTGCAGGGGGTCACTACTTTGTGACTCCAAGCAAACATGCAATATTCCTTTGCTCAAATGAAAGCTTGCATGAAGAGCCGTTGTCAAATCGAAACTTGCCTGCAAGAGGTTACATGGCCAAACGAAGGATGTCACCCAAAGTTTGTATAAAAGGGACCACATGCGCAAACTAAGGATGTAAACTAAACTTGCATTCGAAGAAGGCCACATGCCCAAACAAAAGATGCATGTAGGAGGTACCTGCTTTGTGAATCAAAGAAATATTTCAGAAGGTCATTGCCTTATGAATCGAAGTACGCTTTCAGAAGGTCATTGTCTTCTGAAACGAAAGAAGCCAGCATGTGTTGCACCCCAAACTTTTCCCTCCTAATTTCACTTTTATGCTGGCTTAGATTTTTGCATTCATCTGCATCATTCCAATGGGTCATGTGCATAGCACGCATTTTTCATAAAATAGATCGCCTGAGGTTCAAAAGATCAGCAATTAGGGAGCTAGGGTTTACAACTGATTTGAGGTGTATGTGTTGAATAAGTTTGATTATCCAGGGTCTTCTCGCTGTACAAGGTTTTGGAATTAAGGTTTTGGTTCAGGATCATTTTTGGACTTCTTCTCCACCAAGTTACAGGGCTAATATCTTCTGATGAACAACTGGTTGTAGGTCATTCTAGTCAAGAACTCCAGGGCGTGACCTAGCATATGTGGGCTTCGAATCATGGCGTTTCTTCATATAAGTATGCTTATCATTTGATTAGGATTAATGACTATGACATGGCATTCATCTACTCTTCAGTTAATCAATTTAGGTGTCGTCAAATCATGGTTCAAAGATGTTTCATCCAGATATTTCTCTGTGCATCTAAACTGAGGAATCAAGATTGTGAGGTGTGGTTAACAGGATTTCTTTCTCTTCAAGATATAATTGTTTTTATCCAGTCTTAGCAAGTGCTGGTGTTTTAATTTGTGTGACTAGGGTTTCACGTCAAGGGAATTCTTCTGTGATTCAGACTTTATCATCCATCTGTAAGATGTTCCTTATGACACTAATTTCAAGTTGAAATAACCGATCGCTAAGGGTTGGGGATTGAATTGTGAAGCATGGTTCATGACCTAAGATATGAATTCATGGACTTCTCCTTAACCAAGGCAATTATTGTCCTCATCATTGTCATTTGTTATCTGCGATGCGAGTAGATTTGGATTGAAGTAGGCTTCTCGTGGAAGAATTCATGCAAAGTAATTCAAGGTTCAAGGCATTCAAGGCAGGGTTCTATTCAACATGGAATACCTAGTTGATGGGCTTACAAGCTCTTATGAGACCTTGAGATGCATAATCATGGACCAAGTTCAAAGATACGTGGATAAGATCTGTTGACTTCGGTTAAAGTAAGCTTTCAACAATTAACTTTTGGACCAAGGTCTCCCTCTAACTTTCATCTAATATGTGTTAGGCATTCAAGTTGCATTTGAAGAATGGTATGGAAAAAGGAAAAGAAATATTGGTTCAGAAAAGGAAATTTCATTAAAAATCAGGGTTTCTATTCGTTGATAAACATTCAATCATGTGGGCTATGAATTCAGTGTCACCAAGCGATCAATTGGTATGATTTAAGATTTTGGTCCATGGATTCTCTATGGCATCAAAATTGATTCGTCAAGGATCAATACAAGGGGTGCATTAAGATTTCTTGAGGATCCACATTTCGTCAATTCAAAGAGGTGTCTTTGGCTTGGAGTGCAAGGTGTGGACAATATGAACTTCAACATTGAATCCGATTAATCTATAAAATTCAAGCACGATTTGACATTTGATTAAGGTCCGAGTATTGATTCAAGATCTTGTTTTGAGTTATAATGCAACCATCATGGTTAGTGCGAGTATTGGATTCATTTGCATTTTGATAACATAAAGCCAAGATTTTGAATGACAATATTATTTCAAGCATGTAATTAGAGTTCAACTATAGTGGAACTATGAAAGGTACATAACTTGATTCAAACATCATGGAATTCATCACTCAAGTATTGATCGGAGTCCATTCAAATAATCAAACATCATTTAGGGTTCTAAACAAGGTTCTTCAAATCCCATTCAAAATACATATGAATCCATTCAAGTGCATTTTGTCACGCAAGTTCAAATACAAGTTCAAGGTATCATGTAGCTTATTACAAAGTCATGCTTAAACCAACTTCTTATCATTCAAGACTTGAAATAGTTTAAAGATTGGAAAATAAAAGAAGACTAGAAAGTCAAGATGTAACGAATTTGCTTACAAGGTTTATCCTATTACAATTTACAAGTACATGGTGCCATTACATGCTTGAAGTATACAAAAAGAAGTAATTACATGGAATTTGGTTCTATGTTTATAAGCCTAAATCTTTAAATTCTTAATGCCAAAACTCCATGCTTCCACCAAAATGCACATCTACTGCTTCGTACAAGTCTTATCAGCATTCCTTGGCTTCAATGGAAGGAAGCTCGATGGCCTGAATGTGCTCAGGCTTCTTCCCGCGACCAAATCCTGACCCTGCATTACCAGTTCAGCCCTGCATTACCAGCAAAATAATGACCCTGCATTACCAGTTCAGTCCTGCATTACTAGAAAAAACAACTGCATTACAAGTTCAAGCCCTGTATTAAATTAATAAAACCAAACAGAAAAAAAACTAACAGAAAATTCAAATGGAATTTCTAACAGTTTCAGCCAGCTTTTAATTTTCTCTTCATAACCAAATACAAAACTAACTCTCATTGTATAACAGGGTTTCTAACCAAAACCAAAACAAAAAATAACTAATTCCCTTACCAGCTTAACCATAATCTACAACAACCTTCTAACTGCCAAAAAACAGAATTTTAACAGAATTTCTAAACTCACAACATTTAACTAAATCAAAAACAGAATTTCATAAATATAAAAAACAACTAGCAGCTAACTAACTACCTCTAACTACTTCCTGTAAATTCCCTAAGTCCTAATTGTCAAACCAAATTTTTTTTTTAAAAACAATTTCAAACTAATTCATAAAAAAACCAAAAAACAGTCAAGTGGGCGTCATAAACAAAATCCTTCGAAAAGCTGCATACAAACCAAAGCTATCCTACAAAAAAAAATAGATTGACATAAACCGGTTCAGGAAACCAGATTCAGTTAACACAAAGCCAATTGACATTACCAAAAGGAAAAGCCAGCTCACTATCCTAATCCAACTGCTAATTGAAATTAGAAAGTTAGCTGAGCAACCCAACCCTAATTGTTTCTCAACTAACTTTACCTGTCATAACTAACTTCTAATAAGAATTGTAGTTTAAACTCCTTTTAGCCTATGTCAAAACATGATTCACTTGACAAAATTCCAATTTCCAACATCAAAATAACTCAACAGAATACTGACTTCTAACCAACCTTCAACCAATCCCTAACCGTTTTCATAACCAACTCACCCAACTGTCACAACAGAAAATCTAACCAATCCTATAACTAACTCTAACAACTTATAACAAACTCACAACCTCCAAACTGTTTTCCTAAGCCAATTTCTATAACAAACTTCAACAAAATTCCCAACTAATCCATAACAAACTCAACAGAAAAACCATATAACAAAACTACAAAGAAGGATATAAAAGGATGTCCATAACAGATTACAAAGGGAGGATCATTATTCAAGGGGGAGATTAATTCATAATAGAGAAATTCACGAAAATCAGAAACGAACCTCTCTACTTTTTTCTCTTTCTTCAACCATCATTTATTCACAATCTTCCTGGAATCTTCACTTTCACATCTTGAATCTTCATCCGCATGGATCCATTTTTTTCAACCTCTTCTTCTTCCAACATCAATCTATCTCAACCTTGATTTCTGTCTTCTTCTACATCTTCAGTTATCCTCATTTCTCATATGTGGAAGAATCACCATCAGAAAACTGGAAAAAAACTCCTCAAACCCTTTCTTTGTGCAATCTCCAATCTTCATAATCTCTGCAATACACTTGCTGCTCCATCTTCACGAATCATCATCTTCAATCAATAGATCCTGCAACCTTTATCCCCCATTTCAATCGGCACCCCTTCTTCAACCTTCAATTCTCCATAACTGCTTGACGATCACTTCCATTACTTCTGGAACCTCCAGCCACAATTCTTCATGAACATCATCATGAATCTTCATCCTTCAACATCAACATACCTTCTCTGCCTCCATAATCAAGCACTTCTCTGAATTTTCAATCATCATCTTCTACTCTACATCACTGCAAGAAAATGGAAACCGCAAGAACAACAACACATAAATTCAATCGAGACGGACAAGAAATAGAAAAGGGAAGATGATGGAACCAGAAGCAATGAATTGAAGAAAAAGTGTTACCTGAGCGAATATAATCTCATCTTTAGTCTTTTATGTCTTCTACTCGGATTCACCTCACAACCGTCGCTAGAGCAAGCCTCGGCTCCATAGGTCAATATCATCATTGTTTCGCCTCTTTCTTGATGCAGGATCGTAGAACACGCTGAGTGGATTCAAAGCCCTAAGGCGTTAGGTGTTGATTCATCACTGTCATAGTGTAATCGTGCTCAGAAGCCTCTAGGTTCCCAACGTATTTCTAGATTTGGAGAAGATGAAGCAAGGAATCAGAAGCATTCCACAAGGTTGAGGTGATGAGACAAAGAGAGATTGATATTTGGAGGTGAACTATAAAAAGAGAGAAGAGGGAAATGATTAGCCGAGATGGTGTGGAATAGTGAGAACGGTGGCCTTTCGTCTTCACGGTGCAGATGAGGAAGGAAAGGAGAAAATAGTATGTTCTCAGAAGATGGAAAGTTAAAAGTGTTTACCCTAGTCCACACCAAAAGGCAACTGTTTAACTCTTTTCATTTATTATTTTTTATATTTCTTTTTTTCCCAAATATTAATAAAATCATAATAAAAAGTAACTGGGAAGGTAAATTTTGATGGTGAGTGTGTTGATGTTTAGGCTTAATCCTTATGAAGCACATGGGCCTTATTACGATCTATACCCTTCCTGAGCCTATTACCACACGCTTTTTGAACACATCAATTGCCTTGCTTCCAGAAAACAACTTTGGACATCTCTGGACTGGGCCTGTGCGCCACTTCTGATGGTAGGCCTAACATTCTGCTATAATACACCATTGGATTCAACTTGCACCCCCTTGGGCCTCTTTCTTTTTCTTATTTAGTTTAGTTTATTTTGAACGATTTTAAATTTGTTTGAACTTTTTTTACATGATAAAAATGATATACAAAAATAGTAGCGTATTTTTAGAATTCTTTAGGACTTTGCTTTAGAATTTTACTAGAACATTCAATTATTTTATGTTTAACAATCATTTTTATTATCATTTTTTTAGTTAAAATCTTGTGATATTATATTGATTTAACTGTCACAATATGGAATGCTTGGAGACTAATTCTTTGATCACTCGTGCGGAGCAACTTCTGTAGAGCTTTCTTATTGCTGGTGCGGTTTTGAAGAGGCCACAGACCTTCTCCGTTCGGTATCATCGCAACCTCATTTTATTCCTCATCTTCGCACTTATCGCTTCCTAGAGATCATATGAAGTATGACGACATTAAGTTTAGAAATAGACTAGTCTCCCTTTTGACTTTTCTTTTTTCTTTTCGCAAATGTATTTAAAACAAAAACTTCTTTTTTACAAACTTCAAAAATACTTAAAAAATTACTGACGAGAATCGTGCCTTTGTTAAGCATGAGAAATGATAAGTGGGTCTCTTCTCGATCTTATTGTTTTTCCATTCTAAGCTTTGGCACGGTTCAAGTGTCAAAGACTAATTCCACAGATAAGTAGAGAAATGGCTAAAATCTCTCCCTTGAGATCGACTAGCTGTTATCCACAAGCAAAAATATCAACAAACACAAAACTCTTTTTGCCTACGGACCTTCCTTTCAAAACTCTTTTTCAAAAGAACATGTTAATTCACTTTTGTGCTGACGCATAAGTCTCCAAAGGTTGAGTTACGGCAGAAGGCGAAATTAATATCGTTCATTTCAAACACAAACAAATTCAAACCTTTTTGTGCACCCAAGCACATTGTCTCCAAACCTTTCCAAAAGAGCATCTTAATTCACTTCTGTGCTGACGCGTAAGTCTCCGAAGGTCGAGTTGCGGCAGAAGGAGAAATTAATGTTGTTCATTAAAAAATATAAACCAACAAAAACATATGAGCCGAACTATGGCTGCTCTGATTCCTTAAAAGGGATACGTAGGCATCAGGGTAGGGCTCGAACAAGCACAAATTTTCATTTTCCCTACATTCTTTTCCCTTTTATTTTGCATGCATTCTCCCTTCAGTAGTGTAATAAACAATAAGCTTAGATTGAACACACCCATAAGATAGATAATAAGAGTGGATACCGTAGAGTACTACGAGCGTGTGGGGTGGTAATACCTTCCCCTCACATAACAGACTCCCTTACCCTTATCTCTCGGTCGCAAGACCGTGACTTCTCCTTCCTCAGGTTTTCTCGATGTTTACCTTTCCCTTCGTGTGGGATAAAAGATGTTTGATGGCGACTTCATTTTTGATGATTTTCAGCCGGTTGTTTTAGCTGGCGACTTCACTGGGGAAAGGTCGACCAAATGCCGGTCCATCCCATAATTGCTCCTAGCTCTTGCTTTCTTTTCTTTGGGTGTTTATTTTTAAGCTTTCAGTTTATTCGTTCATTTTGAATATACATGTGCATATGTATGCATTACATTTTTACTGTCTTCCATATATTGCTGTTGTACTGGATCTGCTTCTTGATTCGGTGGGGATGTTACTATTGAGGTAAAAGGCCCAGTACCCAGGCCAGATTGCACTAGGACACTAGGAATAGAGTGGGGGCATGATGGCTATAGGACGTGGTCCGATTAGTGCAGTCATGTCATATACCACGCTCGGATGAGGTTCAAATGAATTACTATCAGCACCCACGTCTATGGGTAAGCTCATAGCACTTTCATGCAGACCCGTGATTTTCGAGTTACCATTGTCTTACCCTGACCTAGTCTTCACCCGTGAGTGGGGAGGGAATCATTATTACAGGTACAGATGGTGACTATGTTCAGATAGTGACTACGATCAGACGGTGATTAGTGGTTCTAATGATTATTTTCTGAATTTCTATTGGTGACTTATTCATAGGCTATATTCTGTTGGTGACCATGTGGTTCTCAGATTTATTTTATGAATTCTTGATTTGCTTACTCGGAAGTTCATTCGAGCCTTTGATATTCGCATTCCCAGCATATTCAGAAAATGCTCAATAGTATCCAATGAGAGATCTACATGGTACTTGGTTCTTATATGTGCAGAAGCTATGACAAACCTTTGACTTGATGATACTCGTATGGTTCAGAAGCAATGCAGCAATCATATTCAAAAATGATGGAACCTTGATCCCATTTGATCTCATGCCTTTGCATACATAACATGGTTAACCACTTGCTTAACATACATGTTCTGTTATTTCTAAGGAATCATATTTGTAAGCCTTGTGCCAAACTTTTCCATCTTTTACTTACGTAAAATCAAAATGAAAGCACGTAAATTCCTTGGGAATAAAGGGACATAACATGGCATCTATTCATGCATTCATAACAGGTACTCAAAGATTAGGAATTCTTGCTCAGACCATGTGTTCTCCTTAGAGGTTCAACTTGATTTCTTACTGCACATGTTCAGAGAGCAGTTATGGAACAACTCTGTGGTATACATGCAAGCTTTGGCCCGTGGTCAGAAATATCTTCAAGCAGGAAGATAATTGATTAAGGACTCATATAAGTCAGGTCATGGAAGCTATGATGATGATCAATAAACTTACTGCCGCGGCAGGTTCTCTCTTCTCCTTATCTTCTTTTGAGAATGGCTTCCAACCATGGAGTTCTACACTATCCTGAGTTCTTGGAACATATTATCAGCAGATGGTTCCCATTTACTATAAGATCTTATATCAGTGCTTCGTTCTTGTTGACCAACGTCAGACGTGGTTGCCACACCGGGGCATCAGACTTTTTAATCTGGGGCATCCGACCATTCATTCAGGGGCATTCTATAACTTTGTGTTCCCCGATCTGTTCAACAGAGCCAGTCTTTATTCCCCAAGTGAATACATGGGGCAAAGCTTTTAAGAAAAGACAGAAGAATCCTGATGAGCATGTTGATGCGAGCCCAATACATTACATCCTATTATTCCCAGCTCTTCCTAGCTCTGATCTTTGTGGTCTTCCTCCCACAAAATCTCTTCTGATTTCCATATACACGCTAGATGCATCCCCTATTCTGGGGTACACGGTTTTGATATTGAAGACTACAAAGGGGTTGAAATATAAAGCCCAACACCTGTTTGGCATCTCTTCCAAAGGTCCAATTCCTTTTTGGCCAATTGCCACATTCTTTATCACCAGGTGGATGTCTCTTTTATTTTGATAGAAGACAAACTGTATTAGTTTTTTGTGGCAAAGTATGCCTGATGATGCAGTTTATATCGATTCACTTGGAAAAACATTCATTTGTTCTCCTGAAAGAATCTTCTACGCATATTATTCTAGGGCAACTGATCATTCGATTGAAGATGGAACGTCATCTAGAGACAAGGTCCAAGACGAGATCAGTCTGGAGATTGTGGTGTCTTAAACATATCAGAAAAGGAATTATCTCCATCACCTCATGCATCTTCATGCATCCATAGCAGGTACTCAGAAGGTATTCAGATTGAGGAATCCTTATTCAGACTCGGTTCAGAACTGCAAATCTAGACTTCTCGCCGCTCCGTGATCAGATTCAAGTTATGGAAGAACTTCGTGGGGAATTGGACGAGATGAAAGAACAGATGGGGTATTTGCTTCTAGACATACATGATTCAATTTGTGGATAAGAACTCTTGAAAGAAGAAGGTAGTCAGTTGAAGACTCAATTGAATTTGGTTATGGGGACGATGTTAATAAATAAGATGTTTCCATGCCTACTACAATGTGAGCTACCATTCCTCCCTGTAAACCGGGGACTCTTTTAAGTCAGGGAGTATCTCCTCCACAGCCTCGTGTTTCAGGATCTTCCCATCCACAATCAATTATTGATTCCCAAGAGGACCCAAAAAGGAAAAGTCCATCAGCAAAGGCCAAAACAGCCTGAACGAAAATTTGATTCTATTCCAAAGTTGTATGCACAATTGCTTCCTCCCCTACTAGGAATTTATTTGGTCAAACTCCGAATCTACACTACACATGAAAGGATCCCTCATGGCTTTGACGATACTATTAGGTGTGAACTTCACTCTGGGGCACCTGGCCTAGATACTGAAGATTGCTTAGCTTTTAAGCACCAAGTCCACGATTTACTTGATATAGGGATAATTCTCTTCACTCCTGAGGGTCTGAGCATGCAAATAAATCTTATGCCAACTGCTACAAAGATTAGGGCCATGCCTTCTCTTCTTCAAAGTTCA